TAACATAATGTACCATAGTGTATGATAGTATATGGAGGTACTGGAAGGCTATGCTAGAGGAAACACACTGTATATCCATCAGAGAAACAGACTTAGACACAACACTGGCAGGCAACTGAGCTGAGAAAGATGACAACTGCTGGTGGACATACAAAACACAACACCCCTGTGTACAGATCACAAGGTAGCCCCTCTGTCATACTCAGAGGCACCAACCAGACAGCAACATTGAACACACAGGTCAAAACAAATATATAGACTCACTTCTCTTTACTGTACAGTTCAAAGTTCAATGCAATGAGGTCAGCACAGACTGCACACCAGGTTTTGACAAGGACAAAGATTGCAGGTAAGAATAATATCGATATATCTTGTCCTGCTGCATCAATTTCAACTATCCATCATGAATTCACAGTGAGTGCAATGCTCAGTAGGTGACTCATCTTTTAAGATGAATTCGTACTGCCAAAGCTCAGATATACTAGATAAAAACATGAAACCATTTTAAAGATAAAAGGAGACAAGAGATATGTTACTGTCTCTTTTTGCTCACAATCTTTGGTAAAGCCCAGTCATCAATTTGCAAAGAGGACAATAACCACATATGACGTCCTGTTATCTTATTGAGCACAATTAAAAACAGCAAGATAGTGAAACATCCCATGATACAAATGTAAAGGTTCTGCTAATACATTAAACACTGTACAGAAACCTCAATAAAAATGATTAAAGTAGAAATTAGGATGATGAGATAAATTAAAATATGAAAACTACTCCACACTTTGAAAACCATATTTCCATATTAGTTGCCATATAAAGTTTGGTTTTACTGCTAGAAACATGTTCTCTAACTTCTGTCCTCCTTTTCTTTCTAGATGAAGAGAACTGAAGTGCTGAGTCAGCTCTAGTGACCAAACCAACCTTCACCATTTGTATAGAAAGACATTTCCTTCTGACTTTCAGCAAAGTCAGTAAATTGGCCAACTGCTTTTATTTATTAATTGTCTTCTGCCCATGTGTGTGCACTCATTTCTCCCTACTACCAAAGTCTCAGACTGATTTAAATCATTTTAATGGGCACTTTTTGTGATGTGCATCAACAGCGTGCACATTAGCGACTGTTGTACATGTTGTTAGTACAAGACAGACAGAGAAGAAATGAATTTTGGAATTGTAGATTTGTAGGTGTAGATTAAAGACAAACATCTTAAGGTTGATGCTGCTGTTTTGATTATTCCCAGATGAACTTCAGAGACAGCTCACTGATTTTCTCCTGAAGCAGCTGATCAACTCTTTGACTCTGGGCAACAGTAAAGACGTTCTTCCAGTCACCAATCTGACCTGCAATGAAAAAATTAAAATGTTTCTGCACAGGAGCTGACTGCTTCAGTTGGGCTGTGAGGGCTGTTATGTTACCTTTGCGCATGAAGTTTCCACTGATCTCGTCTTTTGATACAAATTCATAGTTGGCTTTTGTGTCTTTCTTCATTGTTTTAAATGTGGCTTTTTCTACAACTTCATCAATGGCTGCTTCACTGAGGTTTTTTCCTAAGAAACTGCAGATCTTAGTTACTGCTGCCTTCAGGTCCTGAAACAGAGAAACAGGAGACCAACAGAGGAAAACTTCAATTCTGACAAAGAATTTATTGGAGTGTTTTCACATGAACAACCTGAGGAGAAAAGCACATCTTACCAAGATCATGTCCTCATAGGTCAGGAAGAGGATGTTGTACTGGTCTTTCTTTGAATGATACAGTTGGACGACCCTGCAACTGTATAGTTGTATAATGTATCACTTAATGTAAGATTTCCATAAATGCGTTTCTTGAATATACTGTTTATTTCAACATTCTGCAAAACCATCCAACATAGTTCAAGAAGACTTTCAAATGAAGACCACTTCAGTCTGTACTAATAAAACTTTACAATCAGCCATGAAATTCTGTCCTGGTTTGATTGGACTTCTTCTTCTTCTTCTTCTCCTTCTTCTTCTTCTTCTCATTTCGGTAGTTCCCGTTAGGGGTCGCCACAGCGAATCATCTGTTTCCACCTAACTCTATCCTCGGCATCCTCTACTCTCACCCCAATTAACTTCATGTCCTCTTTTAGCACATCCATATATCTCCTCTTTGGCCTTCCTCTTGACCTCTTGCCTGGCAGCTCCATCTCCAGCATCCTTCTACCAATATAACCACTATCCCTCCTCTGCACATGTCCAAATCATCTCAGTCTGGCCTCTCTGACCTTGTCCCCAAAACAGCTGACCTGAGCTGTCCCTCTGATGTGCTTATTCCCAATCCTGTCCATCCTGGCCACTCCTAAAGGGAACCTCAACATCCTGTGTGCTGATGTGCTGGTACCTAGAGAAATAAGG